AGATGAAAGAGGCGCCGCGCGCGGAGGTGAGCGCGCCGGCAGCTCGGGGGTCACCCYGCCGCCGCCTAATGATGCCCGTTAATGAGCTTGTCTCGCTCCCAAAAACTAAACCCCAAGGGGTTTTGACCCTTTCCAGGAGCGTTCGTTCCCGGGAAGCTGAGGGTGCTGCTGCTGCAGCGGAAATTGGGGCTTTTTTTTATCCTGGTGCRGGTTTTGGCAGCTGCTTTTCCTGGTTCCGCTCCGACTCTCAGGCTGTGTCCTTGGCTGCTTGCACAGTGAGTGGAGCCACCCTGGTCTCCCCAATAAGACTTTTTCTCCCCATTTTTATCCTCTCCTGCAGCCTTTGGAAAGGGCCGGTAATTCCCACCACCAGAAGCAATGAGCGGCCAGGGATTCAGATCCATTTAGCGGCTCCCACTGGGGAAGGGGGAAACCTGGACCTCAGTGAAGCTATTTGTAAATTGTTAATTTAAGCATTTCACTCAGATTTGCCTTAAATGGTTCCCTCCTGGAGCTCATAAATGGGTAAAGAGCGTGGATATGGAAATGGAGCAGTGGGGAGAAGCCAGATCGGTGCCGCCGGCGGTGATGGCACCATCACTGGCAGTGCTTGGGTGTAAATCAGGGCAAACTGGGGCATCCTTTACTGCTGAAATGTCCCCAATGTGCCGTAGCGTCTTGGTTCAGCGCTGCATAATGGAGCCCTGTGCGTCGGGGCCGTGCAGACACTGGGGCTGTGTTTGCGTCTCTAAAGGGCTCGTGGAGCTGGGGGGATGCGGGACAGCGGTGACGCCGTGGCCTGGAGYGGGGACACGCGTCCTCCCTCGAGCGCCCAGCATCGCTCCGGCCCCGGCTGCGTCCTGCAAAACGAGGCTCCTTCCTCGGCTTCCATCCGGCTAAGCAGCAAAGTGCCCTTCGGGGGGCTTAAATCTGTGCAAATTAGGGTTTTTGGAGCGATGCTGAGGCCATGGTGATGCTGGTAGCATCTCGAGGGCTTTGGGAAGGCAGAAATTCAGCTCTGCCTTGATTCTGTCTGGGACATGGGTGCAAAGAGGCCACGCGCAGGTGCCAAGGGGATGCCTACGGGTGCCAGGATGATGCCCATGGGTGCAAGGAGGTTGCACATGGGTGCAAAGGAGCCTCACGTGGGTGCACAGGGTCYGTGCATGGGTGGTTTCAGCTGGCTGCGCTGCTGCCCCGGGGGCCTCAGTGCATTTGCTTTAATTGCATTTGGCAAGCGAAGCGCACCGGGAAGGGCTGCGTGGCCRCTCGCCTGCCCCGAGGCTGCTCCGGAGCCGCTCCGGCCTCAGGGCGCCCGGCGGCTCCGGGGTGCAGAGGGAGGGAGCCGGCTGGGAAGGGAGCGGAGCGGCGCTGTGCCGAGCGCCGGCCCGCGTGGGGACATGGCTGGCTGCTGGCGCCCAGCCCACGTGATGTGTTTGAGGGGGACGGTGACATTTCATGAGGGAGGAACACAAAAAATCCCTACCCAGAGCCGCACGGCGAGCGTGGAGGCGCCCGCTGCAGAAGGAGAACAGCAGAGACAGCGGGACGGACGCAGGCGGCGGCGGGAGCGCAGGCAGCAGGGAAGCCCTCCTGGCGCGTGGGGGGACGTGTGCGGCCCCCGGGATGCCCTGGTGCCCAGGCAGGGCCCTGGGGCAGTGCCGGGCAGCCCGGGAGCCGCYGTCGCTCGCTCGGCACTAGCCCGGCGCAGGAGGCGGCACGGAGCGAGCGCCGGGCACGTCCCCGCTCCGGGGCTCCCCGCTGCAGCRGCGGGGCTGAGCGCCCAGCGAGCAGGGCAGCCTGCGCACGAGCGGGTGCCGGGAGCCGCCCGCCTCTTGGCARTGCCCACGCGCTCCGTAACGAGGCGAGCCCGCCTTTAATTACCCTCCGTGGCTGAGGCGGCTCGCTCCGTCTGCTCCGATTTGCCTTGACGGGGCGGCGCGCTCGGCGAGTGCGCGCTCGCGGGGC